CTCATATTTTTCTTCTTTAATTATATTTTTAATTATGTTACTAATATGTTATTTCTTTTCATTATGTCTTTTCAGATTTTTATTATGTTAATTCTTTTTAATTATGTTTTTTTAATATTTATTTATGTTATTTCTTTATAATTATGTTTTTATGTTTTTAATTATGTTTTTAATTTATTCTTATTAATTATGATTTACAGGTTTTAGGTAGGAACCATTAGATGAAGCGGACTGTTATTTCAGCAGCATGCAGAGCTACTTCTATTTTTTTATCTTTCAGCAGCTTTCTTTTATTACTTATGTATTATGTTTTTAATTATGTTGTTAATATGTTATTTCTTTTTATTATGTCTTTTCAGAATTTAATAATGCTATTTCCTTTTAATTATGATTTTTTAATATTTATTTATGTTATTTCTTTTTAATTATGTTTTTATGGTTTTAATTATGTTTTTAATATATTCTTATTAATTATGATTTACAGATTTTACGTAGGAACCATCAGATGAAGCGGACTGTTGTTTCAGCAGCATGCAGAGCTACTTTTATTTTCTTATCTTTCAGCAATTCTCTTTTACTACTCATATTTTCCTACTTTAATTATGTTTTTAATTATGTTCTTAATTATGTTATTAATATGTTATTTCTTTTTATTATGTCTTTTCAGAATTTAATTATGTTATTTCCTTTTAATTATGTTTTTTTAATATTTATTTATGTTATTTCTTTTTAATTATGTTTTTATGGTTTTAATTATGTTTTTAATATATTTTAATTAATTTTAATTTTTAAGCATTAGGTAGGACCCATGAGATGAAGCGGACTGTTGTTTCAGCAGCGTGCAGAGCTACTTCTATTTTCTTATCTTTCTTTTATTCATCTTCTTCTTTTCTTTTTCAGGGATGATCGAGCAATCATGCAGCGATATTCAATATGTCTTTTCTTTTCTTTTTCTTATTTTTTCCTTATCTTCTTTTTTCTCAAGATAAATCATCAAGGGATAGGGTCATCTGCGGCAGGATGATACATGGCATGACAGGATTCATCATCGATTTTTACGCGGGAATACGGGCAGGATAGGAGAACACTCGCACGCTTGTCAGCAAGCATAGGCGTGGGTGTTCACGGGCGTGATTAAACTTCGTTTGATTGTTCGTATCGAAAACGCGAATTTAAAGTAGAGTAACTGTCCTTCTAACACTCACGTGTATGAACGCGGACGCGACTTAAAAGTCCTACCGGGGACTTCGTTTGTATTTGCTCGAATATTCGATTAGATTACCTCGCGAACGCGTTTTTTTAGAGTAGAGTCACCGTTTTCCGAACACTTGCGTGGGTGTCCGGGCGCGATTAAAAGTCCTACCATGGACTTCGTTTTAGTGTTGAAATTCGAGGTGCGCGAACGGTTTACCTTGTAGTGCTGTACATAGCTGGCTGATGTTATGACAATCCTAATGTTTGGTAGCGGGGCGGAAATCTCGACAAATATCATGGAAAGTCTAAATACCGGTTAGCATATGTCACTTTGGATTTCAACTTAGAGTCACCGTTATTCTAACACTCACGTGAGTGTTCGCGTGCGCGATTAAAAGTCCTACCGGGGACTTCGTTTTGTTTGCTCGAATATTCGATTAGTTTATTTAGTGTAGAGTCACCGATTTTCGAACACTTGCGTGGGTGTCCGGGCGCGATAAAAAGTCCTATCATGGACTTCGTTTTAGTGTTGAAATTCGGGGTGCGCTTCGGATTTCAACTTAGAGTCACCGTTATTCTAACACTCACGTAAGTGTTCGCGTGCGCGATTGAAAGTCCTACCGGGGACTTCGTTTTATTTCTTCGAAATTTCGATTAGATTACTTCGCGAATTTGGATAGGACAGTAGAATCTACGTAATTACAACACACGTGAGTGTCGCGAACGCGATTAATGCGCTTTGATTGTTCGAAATTCGGAAGCACGAATTGAGTTGTGCATAATAATCCGTTATGCCTGAGGCCGAGGGTGTTGAACGGTAAAGCTTTCTGTAAGCGGAGTCCCTGTAGCTAAGGCTAGATACTCCCTGTTAGCTTTGAACCATGCCCAAAATATCCGAAGCGGAAGGCATAAGGGATCGGTATCGCGGAACGCGGATTTTAGAGTAAAGTAGAGTCACCGTTAGCTCGTGGGTCTCCACATGCAGCAACCTCCACGTGGTGAGACCTGGATCGTTAATACTTGCAAAGTTTAATTGTAAATTTTTAAATGCAAGTATTACCGAGCGAATGGCTGCATATTGTATTACTTTTCCAATATCTTTTCAAACTAATTCCAATTAAACATTAACATATTTTCATTTTATATAGCTAATAATACTTCAAAAAAAGAAATATAACAGAAATATATTGTACAATAATTTCTTAGACAAACGAAAAGGATATTTTTCTATCTCTCTTTTATATCCACTGTTATTTCTATTTATACTTATTTACAATCTTTAATTATCCTCTATATATCTCGGGTGGGACCCACGGGTGGGGCCTGTGGGTGAGGGCTTCTGTGCGGGTTGCTGTCTCAGCATCATATTCTCTTGTCTTATCTTTTTGGGGCTCTCTATTCTTCTCTTACTGGGGTTCTCTTTTTTGTTTTGCCGGCTCTCGTTTCTACCTCATATTTTTCATTTTTAATTATGTTTCCAATTATGTTATTAATATGTTATTTCCTTTTAATTATGTATTCTTAGTATTTATTTTTGTTGTTACTTTCTAATTATGTATTTAATTATGTGTATAATTATGTGTTTATGTTTTTAATTATGTTTATTTTCTGTTTATATTGCATATATATATATATATTATGTTTTATTTTATGTATTTTTTTTCTTTCTCTTATTTTCTGCTTACATTCTTTTTTTCCAGGATAGATCATCGAGGGATAGGTTCATCTGCGACCGGATGGTACATCGCATGGCAGGATTCATCATCGATTTTTACGCGCGAATACGGGAAGGATAGGAAGAACATTAGCGCGCGTGTCGGCGGGCACAGGCGTTGGTGTTCTCGGGCGCGATTAAACTTCGTTTGATTGTTCGAATCGAAAACGCGAATTGTAGAGTAGAGTCATCGTTCTTCTAACACTTGCGTGGGTGTTCGGGCGCGATTAAAGGTCCTACCGTGGACTTCGTTTGATTTCTTCGAAATTTCGATGGGGGTACTTCGCGAATTTCGGCTTAACAGTAGAATCTACGTAATTATAACACACACGTGAGTGTCGCGACGCGATTAGTATTTCTAAGGAGTGCGCTTTGATTGTTCGAAATTCGGAAAGCACAAATTCGAATGTGCTTAATAATTCGTTATGTCTGAAGCGGACGGTGCAAATGGTGGAGCTATCTGTAAGAGGTGTGTAGTAGCTAAAGCTACACATACCCTGTTAGTTAAGAAGCCAGTGCATTGAAGCGGAAAGGTATAGCGGATCGGTATCGCGGAACGCGGATTTTAGAGTAGAGTCACCGTCAGTCCGTGGGTCTCCAAATGCAGCAACTTCCACGTAGTGAGACCTGGGTCAGTATTACTTGCATACTCTAATTATAAATTCTTTAACGCAAGTATTACTGAGCGAATGGCTGCATATTTTTGTACTTTTCCAATATCTTCTTAATCTAATTCCAACTGAACATTAATATTTTTCCACTTTATATCGCGTATAATACTTCAAAAGAAGAAATATGGCAGAATTCTATTGTACAATAATTTCTCAGAGAAACGGAAAAGAAATTTCTCTATCACACTTTAATGTCCAGTGTCATTTCTATTTTTTCTTGTTTACTATCATTAATTATCCTTTATAAATCTCGGGTGGGACCCATGGGCCCCTCTCATGGGTGTGGGCCGCTGTGCGGGTTGCTGTCTCAGTATCGTGTGGATTTGTTTCTCTTTTCTTTCAAAAGTTTTTCTTTTCATATCTTACTAGACATTAAAGTACTCACTAAAGTAGTCTCATTTTGCATTACTAATTATGCCAGAATAGATGAATATAAGACTAGACGTAAAATAGTTCGGTGTCTTACTATTAATCGGTAGAATAGTTTTCCTAGTTATCAATTGATGGTAAAATAAATCTCTTTTTTATTATTGATTTTTATAGTGCTCTCTTTACCGACAATCTATGAAAATCGGATTCTTTTTGTCGGCGGTCGGTAAAGTATGTGTCTCTTTTACCTTCGACTGAGTGGAACCCTATATTGTTGGTTATATTAGATTCTCGTTTTACTAATGGTGAATGACCACTATTTTCGTTTTCCACCACCCATGAAATATTCCGCTCTCGACAATATTCTCTTGCCGCAGTAAAATATTTTGTGTGTGACTTATAAGCAATATAGAAGGATTTCGAGGCTTAGAAATTTCGAAACTTATTTTTAATCTAAATACAAATTTTAAAAACAACTTAATTTTGGATCTTTTAGACTGCAAACAGATCAAATGTATTAGGTCAGTCCAAAAGTTCATGCGCATTAGTATCATGTATGGAATTCGATAATGCGCACGAACTTTTGGACTGACCTGATAATATGAAATTGGTGAATAAATTATATTGATGTTATAGTTCAAAATAAAATGTTGTTATTTATTTTTGAACAAAATATATTTATAATCAATTAATACAATATGTATTAAATTCTTCATGACTCTACAAAAATTCGAAATAAAATCCAAGCAAAAATTTTTATTAATTTAATTAATTTAGTTAATCTAAATAGAATAAAAAATCAGTGAATACTGATAAGAAGTTGTAAATTAAATAATCGAATATCTTCGAATTATTATTCTAATACATCAACAAATTACTGTATTTAACGAACAATTCTAAATACGAATTGTAATATTAAAGAATATTATTCGAATATTCACATATGCAATTAATTCTCACAAAACACCACCCTTTTTTTATAACTAATTATAACATTATCGAAGTAAAAAAGAATAAAAAAATATCATCGTTATCAAAATTATACGATGATGTTAATAGAAATATTATTTTATTCGTTAATGCTATTAGAACCTTTCTTTAATCCCTATAAATAGCTAGATCAGCTTAGCTAATCTAAAAACGTCGCATATATTTCGAAATATTTCAGTAATTGTTATATCTTTTAATAAGAGTACATCAATATATGTATATATATTTGTTCGACATTAGAATTTGGTAGTCATTGATAGAAAATATATTAAAATATATGATTCTAATATTGCACTAGATTTTAACCGAGAGCATCTCAACTGGTCAACGAAGAGAAACATAATAATTTAATTAATGAAATAAGAGAAAAGACAAGTTCGTTTCGATCGTCGACCAATTTGATGCGGCCTAAATCACGTTAGCTTTTATTTTGAGGATTATAAATAAAGGGACGGCATCACAGACATAACAAAAATGAAACGATCTTTTCGGGACGTTTCTCGCGACCTGTACTTTTAAACCTTTATTGAACAAAGAAAGTAATGAACGCGTTGCGTGTTATCACATTTATAGCACACTTAACCGTTCGTTTTATTAGTTCCCCGACAAATCTTTACGAAACTTTGGTGTGACATATCGAACGTATGGTAGTTTCGTCTTATGGAATAATGTCTTATCATCTAATATTAATGTCATTGGTATTATTTATTATTTTCTTCTTTCATATCATTCCGTTTCATTCCTTATTGTTTCGTTTCGTTTCGTTCTTTATCTAAAAGTTTCGATCATACAACTACATCAGTAGATATCTCTTCGATATCGTTACTTAATAAAACATAATTGGAGTCTTTATTAACGAGTAACCGATGCTGTTGATTTACTAAGAAAGACGATCCTCTTCTAATAGTCCTCTTTCCTAACTCTATTGCTTCGTGTGTAAACACCACGTTGTTGTAAGCCTTAACGAATACCACGATTATAGTTATCAAACCGACTAGAATCAACCCGTAACTGACACATGGTACTGCAATGTCCGCGAATGTTGTAGCCAAATAAACCCATCTTCTGATCGATGGCGTCAATTCTTCGATACCTTCTTCGAGCCACATTATAGGAAACACTATATCAGGAAAATTCGCGACCACACCGATATTCGGCTGTCGTTCTACCTTTAGATTTATCTGTACTCGAACTTTTCCTTCTATAGGTACACCGAGTTTCTGAAACGAAAATTTAACATAATAATAAGGATATCACGAACGTCTTTTCAAACTTTCTTCATCGTATTCTTTTCCAGTAAAAATAAATCCTTAAGAAAAAGAAAACATTCTTTTTTTCTTTTTAGCATATATTTACCGGTTGTATTTTAAAATAAGTTTCGTGTAATTCCGGAACTGGTTTTAATCCTAGAACAGCGTCTAAAAGTTCCGTATCAGCTTGATAGAAATGTGGAAAAGATATGTAGACTGGTGCAGCTGCAAAAAGAAAAGCACATTATTAATCCATTCGATTAAAAAGAGGATAACGAATAACAATCGATTGTTCCATGAAAATAAACTTACTGTATTGGCAAGGACTGATATTTTGTAATCCTTTTTTTGGACAAGTAGAAAAATCATCCGAGCAGAAGCATTTATTTTCTGGATTATTATCATCAGGCAGTCCGAAAACCATTTCCGGTGGCGTATATAAATCTGCTTTTATGGAACTATTTTTTACTGGTCCACGATATTGCAATGGTAAAACACGGCAGAGATCTTTGTCCCAAATATGAACGATATCCGATCCAGTTTTATCTCGTGGAGGAAAGAACGAACCTTTTTTTTTTCAAATGTAAAAATCCTTTCAGTAAGAAATTCGTTATTTTCTTGTTTTCTTTTTTTTTTTATTTTATATTGAACATGTCAGTTTAAAACTTGTTTCCGTATTTTTTGGCAAAAAATTAATGAACAGAAGAGAAAAATATATCTGTATTCTTCATAACTAATTTACCTTCGGAAGCTATGATAGAATTGCATGGTGCTTCTGGCCAATAAGGTAGATGATCCAATCCATTTAATCGATTTATAAGACCAAATACTTTCATATCTGTGTGTCCGGTATATATTGTCGATACCTCAGTCAACGTACCGTTTCTCTGCAATAGAAATATTAATTTACAAAAAAGAAATATTAATTTAAAATAGTCTATATATATATATATAAATATAATATAACAATAAAAATAGTATAATAACTTACGCCGTTTAGAATTCCTATTTTACTCATAGGACGCCGACTTATCGGAAAAAATCGATGCGCTATACTAACGAGTGGATCATCGTAACCAAATACAAGTTCTTGAACAGTAAGAGGAATAAATGGTTTCATTTGCATTCCACTTAGAAACATCGATAAACCGATCGTGATAAATCGAGGTAGACTCTTGCTTTGCGTCGAAAGTGTCTGAAATTTAACGTAACCTCACGTAAAAACGTTCTTAATGTTTCTGTTGAAATCGATTTTAGAGAAACCGCAAGTATAACCACAAATGATAATCTTTGTAAAAATGTACGAAATTCATAAATGATAAATGGATGAAAGAAAAACTTGTAAAAAAGAAAAAAAAAAGGGAAAAAAAAGAAAAAGAATAAAAATCATATAATTCATTTCGATTAAATTTCGTAACGACCAAATTGTAATGATTTCTTGTGATGAAGTACCGCATTGTGATAATTGCTTTCCCGTAATATAATGACCCATTCTTCATCTGACGATCATGAATCATGTTTTATAAGAAATTTATGAAAAATGATCAAATTTGATCATGCTTCTAACTTACAAGTAGTGGAATATTAGGAACCATTACTTTGACCTCTCCATCTCTGGACATTTCAGGAACAAAATTTAGAATTTTCTTATGTTGATAAGTCACAGTACCATTATTGTGAAAAACTATGTTGACTTTTTCCATATCTTCCCTGTAAATCATGAACGAATTTAAAATCGATTTTCTTCACTTTGTAGACATTTTCTCGGCTTTCAAATAATCACCTATAAACAAAAGGACCGATTTCTTGAAGTTTCGGCTTTTCATTGAATTGTAAAAAGCCTTCGGTATTGGTCATATTAAATATGTAGACTTTGGTCAATCGAACAACTCCAGGTTTTTGCCAATATTGAAAGGAGAGCGAGCCATTCCATAAACGTAATTGCTGAAAAGAAAAACTATATTAAAATGACAAATTATATATCTCTATAATTAAGCGAGAAATTTCAAAACATTTATCGAAGTATAATAATATTTCACAGACGGCGATAGCAAAAGTATTACTACAATGAGGACAATTACACTTGCATGTACTTTTACGCTGTATATTTGTTATATACGAGAACTGCTCGTTATGTATCCATTAATGAGCTATAGAAAGGTCGAACGGAACTAGATTATTATTGAAACATTGAAACACCACTTGCATCCGTTTGTCGGTATTAACGAGTATATTTATAGAAAGAAAAAATAATAATTCATTTAAAATAAAACGTCTATATCAAGGCTAATAAAATAATAATTTCAAAACGCCTAATGATGGAAAATTATGTTATTATGTTAAATTAATAAAAATGGCTGGTTTTCATATTTTTAATAGGCAGCTACAATTGTGTAAAATAATAACATAAATAACTTGCCTTCAAAATAATGTAATCTACCCATGGTATACTGCTAAGAACGATGCCGATGATAAGGGCAAGTAGGCCAAAACAAATTGCTGCTATTCTACCTAAAAAGACAACAAAAAAACAAAAATATAAAATAGTAGAAAAAAGTATTCAAATGCTAAAAAAGCCTTAAAATAGATGCGTTTATTATACTTTTATTTGATATTTAAAAAAATTTTATTTGATATTCCAAAGTCCTTTAATCTTGGTTAATATATTATATAACAAAAAAAATTACGCAAAAAATTATTGAAAAAATAATTTATGTATACTACTCATATCATCCACTTTAATTTAAGAACATGATGTATCTTTTTAAAAATAGCATAACATTTACAAACTAACTTTATATAATTTTGCAATCATTTATACTAATGAAAGATAATTAATTCTTAGTAAGATAAAAATGTATGTAATTGTGTGATATTTAATAATTTTTTTAACACTTTTAATCATTATTTATCTATACTATATTCCTATATATATATCAAAAGATATATTTTTGCAATCTTCTTCTAGGTATTTAAGTTGTAGTTTTGTTTTTTTTTCAAATAACAATTCTCATTTCCTTTCAGAAATAAACCAAAGGAATAAAACATGTAGTCGCGAGCACGAAAGAAAGAAAATTTTACCGAACCGAAATTGCACATACTGGTTTAATTTCATTTTTAATATTGTAAATAATATGTTATGTTATAAATGCAAGAAGGAAATGATTCATGTACATCAAATACATGACGTACATCACGTACAAATAAAAATTAATCGTTTTGCTGCCATAAACATAAAAGAAAAAAATTAAATTATACGAAATAAAAATAATTCGTGAGAATATAGATGCATCATTTTAATTAACAGTGAAATCTGCCGCGTCTTTTGAAGGAATGAACAATTACCATGTAAGGTGCTAGTCGTACTCTGAAATTCCGCATTTCGTAATAGGCGATATTACCCGATAAGTCAATTAAACCTGCATTTCCTGAAAGCCATATGTGTAGATTTCTATAAATGAATATGTGACTTAACTAACATTAAAATATGTAAGAAAGTGCGTATCTTTCTTAGTGATCTATGATAACAATATGTAAAGAAAATCAAACACAGACGTAGACACATAGACGACTATAGAATACGTCGACGATGAAAAGAAAGTTGAAAGACCTCGGACATCTGTCAACGAAGTAAAGAGCGACCCTGGCATTATGTCATCGTATAAGCCCTCTAATGTAATTTAGTATGAAACTTGCACAATCACGAAAATATCCATTAGCTGTATTTGATAACTAACCCTTGTTCATTGCATTTCAAACACGTAAGATCGAATAATTGATCTTGAGTCATGTTCAGTGGTCAAATCATTTATCTAATACTTTTTCATTATTAGATTGGAATTGATTTGATTATTCGTAAATTTTATGACAAACTTGAAATGTTATTGAAGAATAAATTGTCTCTTAAAAATATATTTGTGTACAAAAACGTACGAATTACTGTAGCATCTCTGACTTTAGCATCAATACAAAATGATCTTTATATTTTTCAAGAAGATAAACAGATAGAATAATAAAATTTTTTACAAATATCACTATTAGCTGTATTTTCTTACAAATAAAATAAAATGAATTGATCTTTCAACAAAAAACTACCTATCGTTCTTTTTTATGAATGAATTAAAAGTTTCGTTTCGAAATCAACGATACAGCCTATAAGTAATTCAACGAATTCATAATTCAATGAACTTTACATATACTTTATATGTATCAATTCTTCGAGATATATATCTCGAATATATTTGAGTAACTCTATAATTGAGTAACCAGTCTGAAATAGGTCATTAACAACCTTTACTGCTTTTCGATATTGATCTCATTTCTTAATTTATGATCAAAAGGAACAAAAAAAGGAGAGCAAGAACGATAAAAATTTCGAAAAACTAGATTGATTATTAAATAAAAAAATGTATGATACATTCATCATCGCAAATGTAATTTTTGCATAATAGCATAAAACGAATTATGAGCATCGCAGAGAAAGTTTTCCTATTTCTTACTCTAGTTGATTTGAATATTTGTTAATCATCGAATGGTATAAATTACATAATGAATACAATTATATAATGAAGCGATATTTCTTTCAAAAAATAGTAAACAACTATTTTAAAATTTGATTTCTAAATCATCTCCCCCCTTCCCAGAAGATAAACGAATTTCAATGATATAAAAAATTTTTCTAACAATATTTGATATTTCGAGTTACATTCGCAATTATTTACTATTAGACAATTTATTTAATTTTTCGATGACATTGAATAGAACAAAAAAACGCGTTTTGATAAAAACCCTTCTCTTATTCATTTATCGATATGAATTTTTTTCTGATTGTTTTCCTCGAGATAAAAAACTTATGCTAATGGAAAATACAAGATATCCTTGTATCTTCCTTTTAATTTTTCCTATATCTTTTTTATATAACTGTAGATAATTCCAATGAAAATTCTACTCTGCTTCATCTTTAATCGAAGCGAGAACGAGAATTTAAATTAAACTCGCCATTAAATAACGTGCTGTCAATATTATTGATAAAGGTTAAATATTATTATTATCATTACTCATGTCTTTATAGTGATCATAAAAATCGTGATGTCAGCTTAAAATATACAAAACTTGATTGATTTAGATTAAATAGTGCCGTAAGGTATTGTTAATTTTCACGACAGGATATAATATATCATATTACTCATTTCATCATTAAGATCATTCATATTTTTTTTCGATTGAAATAACACTAAAATTGTTTTTTTTTTTTGTTATTAACGACGTTATTTATTTACAAAAGAAATCTACATAATAAAAACGAGTCATTGAAGAAATAAAAATAATTTAAAACTTCAATAATCGATTTAATCCGAATGGAACAACAATCGTTTATATTATAGTGTTTCTTCGACTTTCATTAAGTGCAAGGACAACATGAACATTTCTGGGAAAAAATATGAGAAAATAAGATAAACACAACAAAAAATACAGATCCAATTTATTACAATTCGAAGAACATAAAACAGTATCTGGCCTTCGATCGTAACTCCATTATCTTGTTAAGAGCAATATCTTCAAAAATCATCCCTGAAGCATTTATAAGTATTGAAAATAAAAAATAAATACCAATAACCAGTTTCTTTCGATTCTTTTCTTTCTTCAAAACCAGACACAAGGATAAGAAAGACGTCTTTATAACTTTTTTATTATCAGAAAAGATAAGCAAAAAATATTTAACTACCAGGATCATTCAGTAAGATACAAGGTTGTCATTTGAATATCTGCATTATATTGTTACTGGTACGGCATTAAATTGCAAGACAGAAAATGTTTGATGGAAAAGCCATGAATAGCTAATAAATGTAAACACTATAAAATATAAATTTTTTGTCAAATATCAATTTATAGAAGGAACAATATTCTTTAAAATTTTTCTATCAAAGAAACTTTCATTTATTAGTGAAGGTCGAGAGTAAATTTCCAAGATCCAAGACGTCAATACAACAATCGATTAAACGATACTTATAAAATATGTGAAAGTTTTACGGCGCTTTAAGTTAATCGACGAGCACACTTGGCCCTGTTCTTTTACTTTTTTCTCCTTTTTTTTTATTACAAGATCGAAAATGGATCACGATTTAATATCATCTGGAACAATATTGCACAATTTTCTTGCTAATAAATAATAATATTCTGTAGGTACGTTTTAAGGTCTATCGAACCATAATACGAAGTATTTACTCATGCATGAATTTACTTGAAAAAGCGAAAAGCTTATTTACATAACTATATAAAATTTAATCTAGTAAGTGAAAACCAGTTTAGCAAGACTAAAAGTTGAAAGTATCGAACTTATTTTTGAATTACATTAAATCTCTTTGCGGTTTCTCAACAAGTTTCAATTCCTACTTAAGCTATTTATTACGATGTATTAACTATTTATTAGATTAGATATATTTGAACTGTCTACATTTTTTGAAATATTTAGATATTTTGAACAGTTTAATAAATATTTAGAAATATTTAAATATTTTGAACTGTCTAATAAATATTTTGAAATGTGTAATAAATTTGATCGAATAGATCAAAGCTCTATTTGAGTTATTAAATGATGCGATGATACATAGAAATAATTTTACCTTCATTATAATCGATATGTCACATTATAAGGATATATTACGACGTATCGTATAATAACTTCTGTAAACTTCCATATATTCCTCCGAAATATAATTATTTAATTTTACTTCTAGGCTAATTCACGTATCAAATTATAAAAATCCACAATACATCTTTTTCATACCTTAGAAATCTAAAAAATAATATGTTAATAAGATAAAAAAACCATGCTGTCACATTAACATTAATTTCCAAGAAGAAGTAAATATATAAATAAGTACATACATATTTATAAAGAAAGAAGATATATTATTTTAAAATTTATAAAACAAAAAGATAAAAGAAAAACAACACCCTTGCATAGTATATCGATCATAATCACCGTGAGTTAACCGTTTACGAGATTTATAGTCGGTATTATGCTTATTTGTAATGTCACGAATGATCGTAAAGTTGCGCATGATTGTAAACTTTCACTAAAACGATTTTAGAACTTAATACGTTTCACACGAAAATATACGAAAAGTTGACAATATTTAAACTGACTTATCATAACTCGGCTGAGCCTTATTTCGAAAATTGAGAGTAAAAAAGAATCAAACGATATATCTTATTGAAATATAAACCTGAAATTGAAAGAAAATAAAAAGGAAAGAAACTGCATTACGAAATGTATTTTATATATATGTCCATATAAAACGCTCATATATGTACGTTCATACTTACATATATGTGTGAAAAATTACCACATAGGGCATAGGTATTATCCGTACTATTACCTACTATTCGTTTTACGAAATGCTAAAGTAAGACAATCTTTTTTTATTTGGCGGAATTAATCGACTTAATTCTTCATAAATTCTTTGTCAAAATTCGAACTCGAAATGTTTTTTATTTCGTCTAAGCTTCAAACATTTCGATCGGCTATTAACTCAGCAACGAAGATTACTTAACTAAGATTAACGACACATAACAAGAGACGAGGACGTTTCAGTTCGAGGCAGGGTCGAGTTCGTCAGAATATACGTTATATTCGCATGTAAATGTGTTTTACGGCTACTCTAAACGGATGTTGAAAATACTGAGACAGTGAAAGTAATCTCAAAAAATGTCTGACGAATGACCAATCGGATTGCGTATATCTGACTAAAGAAAAAGGAGAAGTCTCTTCTGTATTATTCATGGAAATATCGTGTAGGTTATATGTTTATGAATAATAATCATTTGTCAGAAAGTTTTGTAATTCTCGGGAAAAATCTTTTGAATCGTTAGAAAGAATTTTGTAACAGCAAAAAATAAAAGGAAGAAAAAAGAGAAAGAAATTGCTGCATTTCAACGAAAACTTTTGAAATTCTTTTTCGTTTTCATTTATCTTATACGTCTTTCAAATTTAACATTAAGTACAATATACAAAAAAATTAAGTACAATATACAAATTTAATATTATGTACAATATATGAAATCGTCCAAGTATCGAGAAACGTGGCAAATATTTCTTCTAAAGAATCTTCTTCTACGTCCTCTTTTTTTTTTGCTTCTACTACCGTCATTACGTACTCGTTTGACATTCGACATGAAGAATAAAAAAACAACGTAATTCTAAGAAATATTCTTTCGATCAGATATGTTACAAGAAAAGTAATAGTTTTCCTTCATACTGTTTTAATTAAAAAAGAAAAAAAAATCGAATTGAATCATTATCAAAAGGTTGACAAAAACTCTTAACATAGGTTGATTGTATACAATTAAGATTCCAAAGTTAAATTACATAGCTATACTCAAGATCCTTCTAGTCTATTTGTATACAAGATCTTGTATTTACAAGATTAATTGTTGGATAAAAAAGAAATAATTTATACTACAGAAATATCAAAATTGAATAAGAACGAAGAATTAAAAAGAACGTTTGATAAAAATTATACAAAAAACAACTTTATTACTTAAAATTATTCAGTATTATTTACATAAAAAATAGAAATTGTACTATAATAGAACTAAAATATTAAATGAGGAAACAACTTGGATGGTGAAGGCTTTATAGTAAAATACAAATAAAAAACAAGAACTGGAAAGTGTAAGATAGGAAAGTTCGACGGGAAGTGATTGTAGAAGAAAAAAATTATCAATAGAAAAATAATTTTTCACCGGTTTGTGTGAATGTATGAAAATTATTAATTCATTTTTTTTTTCTTTTTAAAGATAATGTTACCTCACGCAGTGAAATTGATAATATTTTTGCCTCATGCAGAAGAATTTAAATATTTAAATATTCAATCAAAAAGAAGCGGAATTATGTGATAATTTAATAAATATGAATAAATACATACAATACACAAATATCAGTTTCTTGTATAATCTATTAAAATAAAAAATAAAAAAAGGAGAAACAAAAAGAAGAAATTGAAGAAAAAAGTTTTTACGGATATGAAATACGGAAGAATTTGCATTATTGATTTATAACGAGAGGTATCAGAAAAAAAAGTAATTAAATGTTTTGCGATAGTCGTCGAAGAACAATACACGCCTACTTAAGATTTCTCTGAACAATTGACGTCACAAAAATAAGCAAGAAAGTTGAATGATAAAGAGATAATTCATATCATACCATCTAATACTTTATAACACGAAAATTTTTAATAATTTGAGAATATACGTGGATCCTAATGATGTAAACTGTCCCATGGTAAAAATCGAAAATTCATCGTCGATAAAATTCTTAGGAATCAATGAACGATATCGAGATTATAATTTCTCTTTCTTTCTCTTAAGAAGTTCGTACAGGAATAATATTTCGAAACGAAGAAAGCGAACCGTATATTTCCACTTACAAACTATAAGTTCACGCCTACCCTGTAATTGAAATAGCTAACTGCTTCTCTCAAGTGTATGACCTATATCTACAATACATGTGCTTCTTATAAGAATACATTCTAACGAAAGAAACACATGTATGCTGCCGGTGCAAGTAACTATCATATTAGAAAGTCGACGATTGCGGCAAATCTGATACAACGGACCAACTTTGCCATCGTCAATATGTCTTCGAACGTGGAGTCATCGAATGGCGTAGTTACAACTTTTACAACATTTGCTTACGTTAAAGCTTCCCTAAAGCTTTCCCGGACTACCGGTATTGTGTCAACTATGAACATGCATTGGATGCTCGACAATCGTTACGCTTCGTTTAGACACGTCATAACGGTCCAATAATTGCTCGCGGTTATGATACACCGTATATAGTTGATAGCTTAACGGATCAAAGGATAATATTACATTACATAAGCCGAATAAATGTTAGTTGATTTTATGAATGATAATAGTTATTGTTGATTTCAGTTAGTACATATTTGGTAAATGCATACTCTAACGAATGATAATTACCGGGAACTTTTTAATATTCTTTCGTGTCATCTTATATGTTAGCATGAACCATAAGTAGAACCGTATATATATACATGCACATGCATATCTATAGCATTTTTCTTGAGATGCACGCAACGTTCAAATGCATGTCATATGCATAGATATTTTCTCTAGAAAAAATAAACTTTCAACATAGAAATCGCGATCGTTCTATTCATTTTGAGGGAAGCGAAATTCTAACGAAACGATTATCCTTTTATTCACTCTCATCTTTCTGTTTAATAACATAAATGCAAACATGTGTTCGGCCTAGTTTCGAGATTCACCCTGTACTTGGATGATTAGAATCCGGTTCTTGATATCTCCTGAAAGAATTCTATGAAATCGGGTCATGTTAGACGATATAAATGATACGGCATTAAGTAGAAATAACGATCCAAGAGAGAAAGAGAGAATGAGAGAAAGAAAGAGAGAGAGGGAAAGAGTAGGCCGGGGTGCAGTAGGCCAGTGGAACAGGTGATAGAGGACAAGTTGCCCCACTGTGTTCTCTATAACGCAACACTAGGATTACACTTTGCTATCGACAACACACTTAACGGCTATCGTTTCGAACTCTCCCGTTAGGAGTAAAAGGAGTCTTGCCCTAGAGAATCTTACCATGACTCGTGATAGCTTGGAACCGTACATTTCGCGAAAACAATTAAGGAGAAAGAGAGAGAAAAGGAGAGAAATCGAAGAGTTATTCGTACGACAAAACAAGGTTCAATTTCTTAAAATTTTCTTATATGAATATGATAATTAATTGATACTTATGCATAAAAGAAGATTTTAAAAATTCTACAATCATTTCTATTAAACTTCTCTATTCTCATTAGAATTAATGAAAATTTTCTCTCGACTGGTTATAATAGTAGATTGGCAAATATAATTCGCAACGGTGATTACGACTAATTCTATTACTGAATAGAATTGGGTCGTTTAACACGCAGACTACCGTTAAAATGCATCTGCGTAAACTCGATCTTAATCTCCAATAATCCGGTATTTCGGAATAGTGTTTATATGTTGTACTATGACTAAAGATAATAATACAGTTTTTATTATTAAAAGCAAACCAATTGATGAGGAATGTACAAACGAAAGAAAAAGTGAAGCTAATATTAATACTACTCACTGTGTTTTAACTTGCCCCCTCTTGAAATGAGCATAGACAATGGTGTTGGTACTTTCTCCGAACAGATACCATCCTTTTGATTAGGTTTTATACCAAGAAGTGCATTTCTTCCAACTTTCATATATTGCCTTCCCATAGTCTTAGGCGAACCATTTCCGAATAACGACGTTATAAATCTCATACTTAATTCGAATCTTGCTTAACTGGTCCTTCCAGAAAAGAATAAATAAAAGAACTTGTTGAAGGATCAATGAATCAAGAAAAAAAGAAGTCTCGGCAAAAATAATTCAAGACAATTTGTCGATATTTCACACGTAGATGCAAGTATTGGATGTACGATAGGATGCTTTGTGCTCTGTTTATTGGACAATACCTAGAAATCGCGTTACAGCTAATCCACGATGTGTTACGTTTAGAAAGCACGTCGTCATGTTACTTCTCCCAACATCATGTCAGAGAATACTTCTGGATATTATTTGTCTGACAGATGTAAAAGCTCATAATATCACGTTATTTGGATAGACGATGAATCAAAAATTGTCTTAGAATTAGACTCCAGATATTACTCCTTTGTGTTTTCTTTCTTTCTGATTGACCGAAGTATACAGTTCTAGTAACTTGGAATCTTGCAAATGATTATAAAGAGACAACGATGACCTCTGCGCGCTTTCACACGCTTCTCTGAGAGAAAAAAAGAATAAATCTAAAGGACGTTTGCAGACGACATTAGGTCATGGATCTGACCGTGAATCGAAATTTTTAACGAGTAATAAAATAACTTTCACTCTCGGCCGTTTTTCTTTTCTTCTCCTCCTTCTTCTTCTTCTTCTTCTTCTTCTTCTTCTTCTTTTTCTTTTTCTTTTTCTTTTTCTTTTTCTTCTTGTACTTTTTATTTTTTTCTTGGTAAAACGACAGTTGCTTGTCCTTGACTCCCACAGAAATTTATCTGAAATACAAAAGATAAAGTTAAGAGAGAAAGAAGGAAGGAATAAAAAAAGAAGATCATACGCATATGGAGAAACTGGTTATTCGGAATAGGCTTATAGAGAGAGAGAGACCGCAATATGTACAATATGCAATGTAAACGTTCGCTACGGCGAAAGTTGGCATATCGCAACGGTTCTTTACGTATGGATTATTACATATCTAAGAGCGAGTCGAGCAAAGCGATGTGAAGCAATTGATAGAAAGAACAAAAAACTTGAACGATCATATGCCTACTACTATTTTCGATGCACCAATTTCGAGGAAAAATGAAGCCATACGGATTTACTTTATTTTCGATTACTCATCATCGTTCTATTCAAAACAATTTTGTGCAAATCTATCGCAGTTAAGAAATTAGAAAAAAAAAGTAATGAAATATCTAAATAATATATTAGCTTGTAAATTTAAATGTTTATGAGATAAAAAGTAATAAATTTGATGTATAAACATCTTTTATCTTAGATAATAAACATATTTTAAATGAATGGGAGAAACTGTCTTATATATTTTTACCTATGTTGAGATAATTAAGTGTTTTTAAAGTCTTCCGTCATTCTACAGTCTACAAAGATCTATGAATATTCAAATCCTACTAGGGTCATCCTATGATCTCTGTTTCATTTAAAAAAAAAATGTTATGTCTCTGATCATATGTAACATTGACTCACAAATGTAAGTTCATTGAAGAAGTGACAATATTCATCTTAAGTTTATCATGCAAAAACCGATAAGAAATAGATATTTACATAATCACCATATTCTTCTCATAAATCATAATGTGCGTTGAAATGAGAGATATTGTATTCTTTTACATTGCATTCTATTCTTCGACATCTAAATCACTTTACAAGAGAGACGAAATGAGAATTATTTCCGTAAAAAGGAATAGCTACTGAACTGATAACATGATCTTGCGTTTATTTTATGGAACGCATAATCGCTCGAGCATACTTACATACTACGAATAGTTTTTATTACGCTCTGGTTAATGGCAGGATATATTAATTGAAGGAACACCGCGAAAATTATCAGCATTTCGCCAATGCAACTCTCATTGAAAAGAGTCGTGCATTGGAAAAAAATATTTTACATGAGATTTCGTACTACCATTTAGACTCTCGTAAAAACGAAGGTAAGAGTTTCAAATGAAACGAACGCAGAAACGTTAATGTTCTCTCGCTACGTCGAATTCATTTAAAAACTTCTACCAGGAATTATTGTTATTGGGTAAAATTATTTACACAATGTAAATAAATTTTCTTAAATAATAGCTTTTTTGTTATTAAAATTTCAATATGCTAAATTTAAGACAGTTTTATTATTTAGCAGAAGAAACATGATCTTAATATACAGAGATTGATATTCTAATGCATGATGTCTTGTTAATTTTGGATGATTTATTATAAATTAATTAACTTTAAGTTCTATCAGTAAAAAGTTCTATGAATCTTATTAAAGAAAATCATTGAATAAAATCGTTCTAACACCAATGTCAATAATAAGTTTTCTTTTTATTAGATAATGATTGATTTAATATAAACAATAATTTACATATTCGATAATATAAAAAGTTAGACGGAAGATTATCGAGACCAATATGGAGGATTTTTCTCTGCATATTTTTTTATACATACTTATGCATTTTTATTATCTCGCATTAATGCATCGCATAGATTGAATTATTCAAATTTCATTTCCCTTTCGTATGTCATATTTATTTATGTTAACAAAAACTGTTTCTTCTATCTCCTTCATGACATCTAACAATTAGCTGATATAAGCAATGATACAAACGTGTAGTTCACTGCATATATAATAAGAGCTATTAGATTAACAAGGACATAACCTTATCATCGGTAAAGAAGAAAAAAAGAAAAACAACTTGATATTTTCCGCTTCCTCTATCCATTTTTCGCAATCTCGAAGGTTTATAAGAGAAGATAATGTAAAGGAAAGTGAAAGGGGTCAGATAAGACGTCAATGTCATCGATCGAAGAATGTTCGATCTATCAATTCTTGGATGTTATTTTTCATCAAGGAAAGAACGCATAAATGTTCGAAAAAAGATCTTGGACTTGGCAATATTTGACGTATCTATTATTTTATACAATGAACTAACTATTTAGATAAAATATATGTATTGTTATTTAAGTAAAATAACCAAGAAAATGAAATATAATAAGCACACAAAGATTTTTTTATCTTCAGGCTTGGCCTGTCTTTACCACGAATCGCAATGTACAATTACCCTATCGTTGGAGACAAGAAATCATCTAGAGGACGGTCGCCGAATTGACGTACCACGACAACAAGTATTATTATCTAACATCCTATATCATTATAGTTCTATACGTTCTTGTATGATTGTTAAAAAATTATAAAAACTATCGATCCTGAATTCATTTTATAGGGATTGTGTTTTACCTACCAACGTCTATTAAAATTCATATATTCCGAGCAAAAATCTTGATGTTGAAATTGCCCATTGAATCATTTCTTCGGTCTGAATTCGATCTGGCCAATTTAACAATGAGTATTAACATATTATTGGCAAAAGAAAATTTATTATTTGCAAAATTATTTGTAATCATGACTGTGAATTCGAGGTGACCATTTAATCTTCGATAATGATTGAAATATTATTGCACAATAAAAATATTATTTCCCAACGATGTTTATCATTGTAAATGATACATCGCTTGTAGTTCCCCTATTAACGAAATGCGTCTTTCGACAAATAATAATTATCGTATATCTTATCATTAAACGAACAATGACATGCATTTAATATGTAAACGATAATATCGTAATGATAATTTTATATATATATATATATATATTTATTAAAATAAATATGTATATGTATATATATATATATGTATATATATTTAAATTATAATAGAAAATATAATAGAAAAAAAGAATGTAAAATCTCAAGTAACAATAAATATTAAAGAGATGATTTATTCAAACTCGTCATTTTATACATGTTCCGACTTAAATACAAAGACAGAGAAAAGATTATTAAATATTGCTCAAGAGTGAATATTTTGAAATATTTCCTTACGACTGATAATGTTTACACTAAAAGTTTCCAAAGCATGATTTTTATAATATATTTAATTTCGGTTTCGAAATATAATGTACTCTTTTTTGTACTCATCTACAAAACATCCGGAAATGATATTTCCTGTTGTTTTTTGATTAATTACTTTAAACTTACGTAATATTTAGATATTTATAATTATATATCACATAATTTATATGAAATGATGTTTCATGAATATAATACACATAACACTAAATTATGATCCTTAATTTCAATCATAATTTTTCATTATTCGAGAATTATTTTGTGATCTTCAAAGTTCTTCAAAAATCCGTTATGAGATATCCTAATTTAAAAATTCATTCTCTCAATCTTTTTTTATGTATAAATTAAACAGTTATTCTTATGAGTACGCATATGAATAATCATCATGAATTCGAAGAGTCTAAATTATTTTAACAGTATTCGTTCGTCAAATCTATATTTTTATTTTAAAAATCCTTTATGTCAGACACACTAATTATCGATAATAAAATATGTACATATTTTATTTGAAATAAAATATTGCACGTTAAAGATACGTTTTTCTAATTATAAGATAAAAAATGAAAGAAATTCTTTCTTTTTCCGTGATATAAATCTTTATAAAAGTTTTAAATAAAGTAACGAACTTGAAAAATAATTAAATGTAAACATGTTATACGCAGAATAGAAAAATAACGGAGAATGATCAATAATCGTTGACTTTCCATTTAGGTATGGTAGTAGAAATAGAAACATGTATGAAATGTACATACTTCCGTCTACTGTTACATTGAGTGCCTAAACTAGATCAAGCTTTCACGATCTTTCAACATTTCAAAAGGAAGTGAAATCAGTTAAAATAAGGAATATCATAAAGATATTCGCTACCTCTATTTATTTACTGTAGAAATCATTGTTTAGAAATAACATGTTATTTTTTCTTTTGAAATTAAATATTTATTTTTCTTTTTAAGAAGTCATTTTTCTTTTTTTTTTTCTTTTTTTTCGACGAGATACAGATCTATCTGCTTTTGTTCGTTGATAATACGTTTAAAAAGTTACAAATGTGCGATTAATGTACGGTAGTGAACACTTACAATTAGATAATTGTAGGATATAACCGACTGCCAGAGATAATAATCACAATTATAAGATTAATAAACACCAAGGATAATAAACACAATCTTCTTTTTGTAAAAAAGTAACAATCTCGAAATAAGTTACAACGCCATTTTTTCATGATGTAACATATAAACAGCCGTATAATCGTAAAAAACTCTCTCGTTTAATGAAGCGATCGTAATCGTAATATTACGTTGTGTCAAAGAAAGTACGAATTCCGCACATTATGTAAATAAACAATTGAAAATAAAAACACAGAGCAATATAATAAATAAAATACATGAATTTCGTAACGTCAAACTTGAAATAAGTCGAATTCTTGTCATAATTATGGAATTTGAAAGAAAAACAAAGAAAAAAAGAGTGAGACGGAAAGAGAGAGAAAAAGATCTTAACAAGATCTGCGTTGATCGAGATCTTAGAAATGACTGACATTTCAACTGAACTACCACTTTACCGTGAAAATGCATTATATATAATATGAGAATGAAATACGTATACACGATTCATCATGTTCATTGAAGCTTATCCACGTGGCACTTCAGAACACCTTTTCATACTTCATCGTATTGCGAAAACGTTATTTTATATTGAATCTTTAACTATTGCTCTATTTGAAACTATTACTATGTATAATCGATAATATTCTAACGATATTTTATAAGTAAATATATCTAAGATCAGATATGTACAAGGTATAGCTCGAGATATTCTTTTTTTAGAAAGCAGATACGTTTCGTAAGTATTCTCGATCATGCTTACAAGGCTCGGTATTCTGTAATATTTTTATTCTTAATGGGAGAAGAGATTTCTTCTATTTGTTTCCCTTCTTACGTATACGAGCCATTTCGTTAAATTATTTTTCTTTCTTTAATTCATCTCCGAAATAAAAGAAAATTAGGCACGTAAATCAACTTTGAAAATATAAAAAAAATATCTATGAATGAAATTTCTAAGATTTTCTATATATCTTGAAAAACATTGCCGTGTAAGCACATCCGAGCTATGAGTAATTGACTCGTATCACTTGATGCGATCTTGACAATACCGATTGATGAAAAGAAATAGAATTAGAATGGCATCGATATTTGAACAGATTTTCAAAAGAAAAAAGAAATTAAAAAATAACATTTTCATATTGGATAATAATATCGACCAAGCGTTTCATATTTTTTTTTTTAATTTTGAATCAGCAAAATATATTTACTTACGAAAGACTTCTCCGTTTCTTAGTAGTTCTTCTTTCTCGCTCTTTTGTCGTCTCCGAAAAGTGTGGGTTTGAAAGCGCGAGCACTCGCGCGGACATACACACACGCACTTAAGTAAGCACTCGGTCGCGGGTTCGTTAACTGGCCAATAAAATGTGCCTCTTTATGTAATACACAAGAAGCCGGAGTGAAAATAGGGTGGGTCGTGGTCGTAGAGCGAGAGAGTAAGAGATAAATAGAAAAAGAAGAAGAAAGCGAGAGAACGAAGTTTCTCTCCTGGATCACCGATGACCAAACGGTTCGTCGCGTTCCTTTCGACAACTTTTCCGCGATCCTCTCCAAGATTTTCTTCGATGTAAATTTCCGGCGAGACAAACGACGTGTAATTCCTTTCTCCCTAGATATCACCGTTACGTACACCGTTCGAATTCTTTTATCTTTATCGGCTCGAACACTATAAAAAGAAAACGTGAGCTTACTAGGAAGCTTTCGTTCCAAGCGTTAAAGTCACCGCAGCGATCGATCTCTAAACGGATACTGACGACAATTGTGAATGAAACGCTCTGATAAACTGGAAGAAAGAAGAATAAAAGAAAAACAAAAGAAGAGGGAGAACAAAAGTTAAAAAAAGAAAATGAAAAAGAAATGAAAGAAAGAAAAAAAGAAACAGAACCGGCTCTCGAGATTCGTCGGTATGGTGAAAGAAATTGAACGTTCTATTGCGTTTTCGACCGTTATATATAAACGTAATTTCTTTCTCTTCTTCTCTTCTTTTTTTTTATCTAATACCTCTACTCTCTTTTTCTTCTAAACGAACACGACGTGCACGATCTAAGATTCACGCGCGACAATTGATGATCTACAATTTACACGACGAAGTGATTAAATGAAACTGTCTGGACCATTGGTAAAACGTTACTTCGTACCCACCTCGTATCCAAAGGAGAACTCAACGGTAGCGGTAACGATACCAATGGTGGTGGGTTTAGTGCTCCCGCTACAAATACTTGTAGTGGTGGTAGTGGTGGTGGTGATGAAGATAGTGGTGGCGAAGACGATGGTGGTGGTGGTAATGACGACAACGACTTTGTTGATGAGCTGGGCGTCCAGTTAAATGTACATCCCGAAGGTTATCTCAGTTTAACAATGCACACGTCTATATTGAATATAGTATTCTATTTCGTAAAATGAATAACTCTTTTCGTTCGAGAGTCTACTGACCGCGAAGTGCCACGAACGGCAATATCGTGCGACCGAGTGGAAAAACTTAAAATGCAGCATTATAATAAAAGAGAAAGAAATAGAGAGAAAGAGAGAGGAGAGAGAGAGAGAGAGAGCGCGCGCACGAGAAAGAAAGAGAGAGGAGAAAGAAAGAGGGGGAGAAAAAAGAGAGGAAAACGTTTTCTTAAGATACTGAAAACAACCTCATGACACCATCTTTGGTCTTTTATATGTCAAGGATGATGCAGGTGTGCTATTTTTACGAACTTTTTTTTTTACATGTTATGACCGAGATAAAAAATTGTTAAAATCTACTTCGAATCTCGATTTTTTTTTTTATCTTTTTTCTCTCTATATCTTTTTTGTATTTAGTCTTGTGTAGATGATTAAATGATACAAATAAGTTCAGGATAAATTCCTGAATATGTAAATATATGCACTATCAAATTTATTTAAATTTGAAAAGTTTAACAAGGATATTCAAACACTGATTAATTGTTTAGGATTGATTAATTTCTCTTTTTTGAATGTTCTTTAAACAATGGTTATTCTTTATACATGTGATCGAAACCTTCCATAAAGTCACCTGTTGTAAAAAAGTATCGACGTTCGAATGAGTGGCATAAACAACTAAGAAGAGAACGTATAATATATTTTATATAAAAATCAACAATTAATAGCGATCTACGTCATAAAAGACGTATAAATTATTTTCTCTTAGTTGTGTTCTCTTTCTCATTGAATTGACAAATGATAAACGAGTTTTTCTTATCGTTACACATTTGCAAGAATGAGACATGTTGTCCATATTTAATTGCATCAAAGTGTATCTTAAAGTAATAGTACAGTCCAAAGGTTAATCTTTGATTATGCTATACAAGTCGTTGCTTCATAATAGCACGTTAGCGTTTCTATCGAATGCATTTAACTTAGCCTTACTCGTTACTCCAAGAAGTTCATTAATCCTTCCGCTTGTAAAATCCACTTTTGATAATATTTCAGTTTATATTTGTCAAATGTACAATTCGTCATTCGACATAGTCAAATTTGTTCTTCACGTGAATCGTCTTTTCTTGAAAAATCTTTTAAAATTTGTTACATCAAAAATAAAGGTCAAACTTAGCGACGATATTTCTCTATGCCTCATTCGTGAAATATTCACGACATGAGTCACGAGTAAGTAAATATGAATCAAAATTATATATAATATAATACTATATAAATAATAATACACGATTTTTCTCTTCCCTATTTTCTTTTATACGGGTAATCCTTACCTAACAGATACTTAAAAATGTGCGAAAAAAGAGACTGATATTGTTGCTAGTTTTTTACTATAACAATTTATATACGTATTTAAATGTGTAGAACTTTCAATTTATCAAAGATCATTTTTTTATACAAAATTATCTTAAAGCAAAAGTAACGTAACGTCATTAATAATAATTATACTACTGTCTTTCATACCATTGTAAAGTTTTTTATACATTAACGTAAATATTGTACATATTTATTGACTGGATCTCTCGTATATAACGAGTACAAGGTCTCCTTACTTTTTTGGGGTAAATGGGCATGCAAGATAAAAAAAAAAAACAAAGAAAGAAACATACGAGAAAAAAGGAAAAATCGTAAAATTCTTTTAAGATCAATAAAAATTAAATTGTATGTAACTAGAAAAAAAAAATTTATTGAATGTCAATTCAATAATTCTAAAACTTATTGTGGAAAAAAAACAAATACACTATACTAACTTTCATTTGTTTTTCGCTTAATTTTGATATCAGATCGATCCTATTACAAAGAGAGAGAGAGAGAGAGACAGAGAGAGAGAGAGAGAAAGAGAGAGTATTTAACATTGAAGTTACATACATATGACTTTGAACGACGTAAATAAGGTCATTCACCAAAGAATAAAAAAAAACGTAATGACGAAGTCGCAGTATTCTGTCATGATTTTTTTAATAACAATATAAACAAAAAGCTAAGACGTTTCTGGACAGATAGAATAATAAATTTCAATATTGTTAACATTTTTTCTGACTATTCGACAATGGTCTTAAGTCTTTTATGAAAAAAATTACGCCCACACACGTCTAGTCGTGTATATTAAACGGTGTGTTCTTTGTTCGTGAGTATCATTAGCGACATTATTTTGATAAAGTAACTATAGAATTGAAAAATTTCTCGAAATATTCATTGAAGGCATTTATTTTGATATAACTGTTGAAGAAAAAATATTTTGTAAATAATACGTATGTACGTGACGATAAAGAAATTTGGTACAAGAAACAATATGCTGAGTAGGAAAAAATGAAATGTCGATAAACAAGGAAAAATTAAATCTTCTAATATTCGTTGTGCGCTTTTTTGTCATAATTAAACGACTCATTTAAGAACCTCGAATCGTTGTGACATTGGGAAAATGGTATTTTACAAAAAAAGATTAGAGAAATGAAGAAATGAAGAAATGAAGAAAGAGAGAGAGAGAAAGAGAGAGAAAACGAGAGAGGGGAGAAAGAAAAAGAGAAAGATGCGAAAGAAAGTTCGTCATATCGAGGCCATTGGTACTGAAGCGCTTAATGATCGAACATCAATTATCATATCAATGCAAGAAATAAGAATCTACATATATAAGTATTTATTAATATATATATATATATATATATATATATATATATATATATACAATATATACAATATATTTACAATATATTTAATGCATATATACAATATGCATTAAATTATGTAGAACTTAACATTGATAAAAAACTATCGACGTATTATTAATTAATCAATAATAAAATCTTTCATTCAAACTTGCAATGTGCATATGTTCGATTAAAAGCTCGATTAATCTTCTGAATAGCTCGCAAAAACAAAGAGATGTCTTGTAATTTAATAAATTTAAAATATCATGTTAGTGTACATATATTAAGCAAAATTTTAATCAGTTAGAAACATTTTAAAATGGTAAAAATGAAAAGAAAAAAAAATTACTCTTTGAAATCGAGTTCAAAACAAATATGTACTCCAGCTAATATTTTACAAGGCTAATGGATTCTGTTTCTAAAGAATTCATTTTTAAAATAACAACGATCCTATCGTCTCTTGATAAAAATTAAAAAGAATTTAAGTCAATGATAACAATGACAATAATGATAATAAATTTTTCCATTTTTATTGTACGATGCTAATAATCAATTAAATTGAAATTTTTTGACTTTGAATGATTTTGAATCTTTTGTTTTTGTAGAAAAAAATCAAACCTTGATATAGCATTCTCATGTTTACCTCTTATACGAACGTACAAATAAAAAATATAAGCAAAAGTAAAAGAGATTTTTCAATAAAAATAAATAACGTATACTTTCTCATCCTCAATTGAATTGCAGTTCGTTCGAAGTACTTCCTTTGAAATAAACGACATATAAAGAAGCATAAGCATATCTTGTGCATATCTCCGTATATACATATATAAGTATGTATAATGTACTTACATACATACTCATAAAGACCATAATCATAGATTGTGGATCGGAAATCATTGGTCGGACCGATGGAAGACGATGCAAAATGTACTTTTTCACTGCTGGTATCAAATCGGCGAAGTAATTTAAGTTTCTTGTTTCTCGATGCAATCACACAGACCTTCCGGTCGCAAACCAACTTGTGATAAATAGAGTCGTTACCATCAAGTTCGATTGATTTTTACAAGAATTCGATTTATTTCTTTTCTGGTAATCAACCAAACTTTTGATCGAAATAAGAAAAGAACATATTATTTTCAATACTCGAAAGTTGATAAAAAAGATATAGAAATATATTTAAATGAGGAGAGTGAGTGGAGCTTAATTCAAAAATGAACATTTAGTTTCATCATAAGCAATAGCTCAATGTCACGATCACGTCAACTTATTTATATAACAATCTTATTCTAATTATGTACAAAATTGAACCATCAATCTCTTATTCGATAAAGGAATGTTAAAGCTAACGATATTTATCTTCAATTAAAGTTACACCAAAGGATAATAAATAAATATATTATTAAAATATTATCACGTAAGTAATATGAAAATAAAAACTTAATTAATTGGTATTCAATTTTGGTGAAATCAAAAAATTAGTGAAGCTGATTTCTTTTTGATTTCTTGCGAATCATCATTAAGGTTTGCAACTTTTATTAATTTTTTTTTTATATAATTATAACTTCCACCTTTTAATGTCTTATAATTCAGGATAGTGAAATTTAGAAAGAATTTGTTGCCACGATCGAAGTTATCATTTTGGTGGTCATTTTGATTTAACATTTATCTCTATAAAAAAAAGTTAATATCCTGTAGAAAAATAACCCGATGAGCTAGTTCATTCACTTTGAATTATTCAATAAAAAATATTATCTTACATAAAATACTATATATTTGATAAGTATTTTTGTTTGTTATAAAAAAAGATGTTTTTAGTGCGCTTCATATAAAAATATGGTAAAAACAATCGATCGGACATTATCATTATGAATCATGTCAGTTTTAACTGGTAATAGTTAGTATAACGAAGAAGCAATTATATTTTTAATAAGACATAGATCTTCATAAAAAAAAGATTTTTCTTGATAAGTTCGGAGTTGGATAACAAAAAAAAAAAGAAACTAATTCTGTTGATTGAACTTTAAAGTTGCAGAAACAATTAGATCAATTCTTTCGTAAGAAACTATTTGGTAGATCATCTAAACAGGAATACTTACCTAAACGATTTATGTTTGTTATAGC